CTCCATGCGACAGAAATGCCGAACACAGCCAAACGTTTTCGACGTGTCCGCCGTCGTCAGCGTTGTGATTAGGATTGTAATTGCATGTCACTGGGGCGCCCGCTTCTCTGCGTTTGCTTTCTGTACGCGCGCGGAGGCGTTCCAATGCCATAACGGAGCCGCGGCCCGTCGTAAAGATTCACTGCACCTAGAATGCGTCAGATTTGCCGTCAGTCAGCCGTGGTTTCCGTACCGGGCGGCTGCCGCACGGGACTGACTGCCTGCCCCGGCGGCCGCCCACACTTCATCGAGGCGTGGCTTCTTGTCGGTTTTAAGACTCTGATTCTGAGGCTGAGAAGTGTGGCTGTGTGCGCGTGTGTGCTTATGCCGACCTTAGAAATGTTTCTGACACAGTTTTATGTTTTAACCATCTTGTATAAAATTGGCTGGGTGCAGAAAAGCCACGACGTGGAAGCCCCCTTAATAAACGAACTATGAACTAGACCAAGACCCAAGTTAACAGCACTCAGCGTCACCAACCCCGTGGAGGGACCTTTGCGAAAACCATGTTGGTCGGGACATAGCACAGGTTGTGTGGACAGGCATGATGCAAGCTGATCGTCGACTATTCGCCCGCAAAAATTTACCATCACTGACACAATCGAAAAGGGTCATAAGTTATTTGGGTCATTTAGATAACCACTTTTATGCAGACGTATCACGGTAGCTGTTTTCTACGCAGGTGGTACATTTCCTGACACTAGCGAGTTATTAACAACGTACAAAAGACGAGGCCGAATTACAGTAAGACTCAGTCTGATCACATGAGCTGTAACTCCGAAAACACCACGGGTTTTCGATGTTCCCAGCTGCTTTAACCGCACCTGACAGCTCAAGAAGAGTAGCAGGTGTAACGAGAGTAACGAGTAGCAGGTGTAACAGGTAAGACCCGCACACACGCATGGGGGACGATACGACACAGTCTCCCCTCAACGGCGGCAGCACTCAACGCCTCAGCCGTACTAATCCCTCAGGACGTGAAATGGTGGCTCAAGATGATACAGAAGACACAGACGACCTAAGTAAAGAAAACTTAACGTCGGAAGGCAAATAAAGAGTAATCTGTCTAGCAGAAATTATGACTAACAACTGTTACAACTGGCGGGGGGGGGGGGGCAAGGATCAAGTACCTCAACATGGTGAAGATGCGTACGATGTCCATCCCAGCATAAGTAAAATATGAGACCCGGTCAGTTTCCGTGATCACCATCCGAAAGGACCTGGACTGGACGTGAGTGGAAGTGGTCGGCGTTGTAGAAAACATTTCTGCCACGTAGAAGCAATGCTATGTAAACTTTTTCGTGGTAAGCAGTTTTTCGCGTCGAAATTTATGCATTGGAAGTTCTGGCATTACAAGCATTGTCGCGCGTGTGCTTTTGCGTTAGAAGTTCTGTCGCGTGGAATTTTGTCATTAAAAGTTCTTGAATGATAAGTATCGTTATGTAGACATGATGTAGTGGAAGTTCTGCGGATCGCAGCATTTGTATTGAGATATTATTGGCACACCTTTTTAGTCAACGCAAAGTCAATGTTAGCCCTTCAGACAGCATTGGGCCTAACTTGAAATGGTCGATATACCTTTTTTCGAGAGTGGTCTCAAAGAAAAAGATATCAGTCCCTCCTGCCTCTCCTAGTCGCCGCGCCTTTGTCAGACGGAATATGCGAAGTTTTTTACGCAAAAAAACTTTTAACTCTGACAGCATTGTAGGGAGACTGATGGTTGAAAACTTGGAAATTTGAGTGTTTCCAACACCTTGAATCTAGTGAGATATCGCGGGAAATTAATGATATTGATTAGTACATCAATCATAATAGGCACTCCTCTAACCCTGGAATTAAATTAACTGAAGCACGCGGTTTCTGCTGCCATGTACTCCGCTGCAAATTTTAGGTCATGGTCTTCAGCTAGCGAAAAACGTTGTTAATTGTAGCGGCGGAAGCAGGACATGCTGACTACTTGACGTGCCTGAAGTATGACTTTTATGCGGTGCGAGCGTTTTTGTGTGGTTATCCGGGGTGACGGTTCGAATGTCAGGCACTCGTTTCCAAGCTGTAAGCAATCATTTTCAACTAACACTTAATCTTTGTCAGCTTTTGTGATGGTGTCAGGGATACTGATTGTTTGACTTGCCTGTGATGCTTGATTTTTAAATCATTATGAGAACAAAAATGTGGGGGTTATCCTGTCAGACTTGTATAACTTTGTGGCTGGGGATCATGAGTCTGGGTCTTGTACGTATGAAAAATCGACGACTAGTTTCCAAGGTCCAGTGTTTTCCAATGAGCCAATAAACCAGGAACCAGACCTATGGTATGCTAAGAACCACTGGGAACTGTGATACTAGCTTTTGTTTTGTCGAAAGAACAAGTGAGGACCAAGCTTCAAATTTTTGTGTTGCCATAAGAACCAGAGAATATCAGGATCCAGGGTTGGCTTTGATAAAGAAGCTATTAGGAATCAAGATCTAGGATTTTGTGTTGAAAGAAGCAGTGAGAATCAAGATCCAAGGATTCGTTTCGTCGAAGGAACCAGCGGGAATGAGGAACCCGAACGGGGAGCCTGACCTGGTTACCTCCGTCAACTCATCTGCTCCCTTGGTCTGCCTTTGAGATGCCGCTACGCTTTTCTACAGCGAAACAAATCATGTTCGTTGGGAAAACGGCATTCTGCAGAGGAAGTTACACGCATGGAAGTAAACCTGTGCTTATACTTCCAGCACAATATGCCCGCTAAGAATTTCACATAAGGCCTGTCCTCTTTGCGAGTAAACGTACGGGCACTGTTTTCACTTCTCAGTAAGTGTAGAAGGTTAGCGCAGACCAGATTGAAAGTTTTGGAAAATGAAGATGAATGGCTAAGTGATGCAGGCACCTACTCCGCTGCACTGGCGTCTGTTCAAGGCCCTCCAAGGCGACTTAAATATTTTCTCCGGCTATATCCGAGTCGTGGCAGTCAGAGCTCGTTGAGACTCGAACAGGCACTAACCCGATGCCCCGATCACTGGGTCTTTGTCCGACTGCTGAGTCACCCCACATGAACGAGAGACGCCACCTTCGCAGCATGCACTCACCTCTTATCCTCTCTGCCCCAGTTACCCCGGTTCGATAGCCCATGGAGGTTGGGGGGAGAGGGAGGGGGAGGGGAGGCAGTCGACCGCGGCGCCGTCGTACGTTACGCGTGTTTCGTCGGTGGGACCATGTCTTTCCAAGCGGGCGGCCACCTTTGTTATTCGGGAATCTGGGGACCAGACTATAACGTTTTTTCTCACGCAAATAAGAAAAAGACGAATATCCTAGAAAATTGTTCCGTGCCTTGCTTAAGTCCATACCGTGATGTGTTGTTTTTTGTACAATAACGCTTTCACGAATGGCATACAAATATTCTGGATAGTTTACTGATCATTTTGACGTAGGTTTGCACTGCTATCTTTCAAGCAGGAGGAAAAATCGCCACCGAAAGTAGCGTTGGAACCACGCAACTGGAAATTACCGAAGGCTTTAACACCGAAAAAGCGCAACTGAGACATAAATGCGTCACAGACGCCTTCAGCGCTGATCGCGAGTCGTGGCCAAATTTAATCAAAATCGGACGGAGGAGGGTGTGAGGCACTTGTTGATGTACTGTGGAATGCCCAAGTTAAAAGTAAACTTGTTTATCCGTAGCAACTATGTGAGTCGTCAAGCCTATAAAAAGGTGAGATGTCGGACGGAATGGAGGAGGCGCTCTTGGATCAACTTTAAGCGTGTGCGAACAATGTGGCGGTGAGTTGTGCTTTGCAGCGGTGGCAACACGGCCGATCTCCGTTACAAAGCAGGTAGCCGTACGTTGCGTGCGCGTGACCGACTCGCACCCCTCACAGCCACTTCCCATCGCAGCTCGGCGAACTCGATTATCGTACACCTAACGGGGCTTTGTCACCTTAAGCTGATCGTTCATGCTTTCCCAGAAGCGTTGCCATTCTTTTAAACCCAGCTCGCCACGGCTGGGTGAAAGTCTCTGGCAGGAACGGGCGTGCAACGCCTACGGGGTGCTGTCTACAACCCGCTCTCTTTGCAGCTGCGTCCACCAGAACGTTACCGGCGATGCCAGCATCGTTTGGCACCAAACAGCGCACCATGGTCTCACTCGCGCGATCCAACGATCTCAGCCGAACTAAAACATCCTGCATGAGCGGGCAAAACGAGCTGAATGACTCAAGATACGCATTACTACGGGCACCTGCAGAAGATGGGGAACCGTGTAGCTTCCGGCACGGACCGACCAATGCCGCCGTCGGCTGGCGCGCCGCAAAAGCCTCAACCACGGAACAGCGGGAGGGCGAATGAACCCTACGCCACTGCCCCATGATGACGAGGGAGACGGGGAGACCAGTTTAGGGCGACGAGGAGACGAGGTGTTTAGCGGCTGAACGCCTGCGAGCCTCCTACATACATATCTAATGGACTCTAGGGCTGTTGGGCGATAGCGGAGCATTCGTAAACAAACAGCGCGATCTGTCTCACCATTGAGTTGTTTTACGACCCTCCGAAGCGTCGACGGTAAACGCCGCCCGAGTGATCGCTGAATCCTGTATTAATAGCTTCACTCGCACCGGTTCAGAATGGCAGTCAGGCCCGACCCCCGACTGACTCCGCGCCAGTCAGGACGCAACCCCGTCCCGCCGCGGCACCAGGCACGCGTCTTTTCACACTCCGCACGGGGTGATAACAATATGTACACGGGGAGAGGGTGGTCCATCGCATGCATCGAGCCGCCGTTGTGGCATGTGGTCACTGAAAGGTCATCAATAGCGAACTTGGCCGACTCCTTTAAAACTCGCTTGAAGCCAGCTAACTCGCGTTAAATTCCGTAAGCGGCACTCGGCGCAACGACAGCACGGAGGAGCCGCCATTAGCACCCACCGGGGTCCACTGTGGGACCAGTTTGCCAGCGTACAAAACCCGACAATGGCGTCACTGCTGACGATATTCCCGAGAGAGCCGGTGGTGGCGCGCGCTGCGGTCGCGACGCCGGCCGAGGTCGGTGTGGTGGCCTTGCTGAGTCGAGGCAAGCGCCACGTCCCACGCCGCAACGGGCCGGTCGCAGTCACACGTGCCGGGCCACCGCACGCGGCACACCCATTGCACCTACGCCTGTCTAGCAGCGGGCCCGCGGCCGGCTCGCCGTCCTTGGAGGCGGCGGGGCCAAGCGTCAGGGGCCCGCCTGCGAGCCCGCCTGGGGGAGATACCGCCGCTCGTCTAGAGGCCGAGCAGCAGAACGCGCGGGTCCTCGACGGCCGCCTTGATGTGGCGCAGGAAGGTGACCGCCTCCCTGCCGTCGATCAGTCGGTGGTCGTACGTCAGCGCCACGTACATCATCGGACGGATCTCCACCTGGCGGAGAACCGGGCAAGCCTGGGTTAGCCAACCTATCGCGAGATGGCCCCGGCACACGGGCCGCGCATGATGCCCATCACGAGCGCAACGTTTCTCACAAAGAACTCCGAGGCGAACGCGTCAGCCCAAAGCAGTCAGCCCGGATTGCAGCCTGTGAGTCCCCCTCCTGCAGCGCCATGTCGGCGCGGTCCGCGGGTTTCGACCCGCCGCGACCGTCAGTCCACCGCACCTTGCCGTCAATCGCGACCGGCCGCTGGAAGATGCCGTGCATGCCGAGGATGGCCGCCTGCGGAGGGTTGATGATGGGCGTGCCGAACATGGAGCCGAACACGCCGCCGTTGCTGATGGTGAACGTGCCGCCGTCCATGTCCTCCACAGCCAGCGAGCCTGCCAGAGCCCGAGCACAACACGGGGTCAAGCGATGATAGCGAGCCGCCAGAGCACGACAGGGGTCGGGGGACGGACAGCGAGTACTCAGCGCAGGACAGGGGTCAGGAGATGGACAGGAAGTCGCCAGGCAGGACAGGTGGTCAGGGGACGGACAGCGAGCCGCCTGGTGACAGAGGCGAAGTCCTAAACTGGGCAAGCGGAGGGCATTGTCAGTGGGGGTGGGGCCCCCACCTATATCAGAGGACCCCAGTCCACTCCACAATATCGAAAAAAATCGCCATAGTTGACCAACTTGACTTGAGTGGCGCAGTTACAACTTTCCCGGCATCAAGCCCCCTTTACGGTAAGCGAAGTCCGTATCTGATGGAAACAAGTTTGGATGCCTATGGGGCGCATCAAACATCTGAAACTTACTGGGCATGACTTATTTACATTGGTCCCCACGGGCCGTAATTTAGCTCCGTATCAGCATATGTTAGCTCGCGCGTCATTCTGGCGTCTTCACATAGGGCATGGACGGTGGGCACTTGTTAACTCCGCTCGGAAAAAAGATACTTTCCATCAAGTAATTGATTGTAGTGATAAATGCGCTTAATAATAAAACAGTCCCTGGGCTCTTATCTGGCGCTTCAAATGTAAACCCTGGCCTGGACCCATTACCGCTTAACATCACACCATTTGGGTGCTATGGAGGAACAAGGCAGCCAGCAGGCCACCAGTCTGACTAGAAATAGCATACACTCAGAGGATATTCAAGACATGGCCCATACAGAGCACGAGGAAAATAATACGCATCAGGGGAGTTAACCTGATCCGGGTGTTAAATATTCGCACGATCAGCTAATTCATGATTGTTTGTAAAACTGTGAACTATTTTTCCTGCTGTGCTCCACTCCAAGTTCGGGATATTTCACTGAGGTACTTCAACACTTACCTCCATCCACACCGTCACACGTGGCATGGCCGAGGTGACTACGGAACGCGCGCGGGCGGCGATGGGGAGGGAAGGGGTGTGTGTGTGTGAACCCCAATGACCACATTCACAGCGCCCAAGAAAACACCGTATCTTTAAATGCTTCTGAGGTGTCATTTGCGCTGTTAAGAGCACTCATATTCATAAAAGGAAATGCAGTACGCCATAGCTTTACAAGCGTGAAACGTCGCTTGAGACATCAGGACAATGTATGGGAGGAACCACAATCATTGGAGGGGTGGACCGTTCTACAGCATTCCCGACCAACAATAAAAGATGCAGCTCCACCGGACGCGAAGCCGGCGCGAACTGACCGTCCTTGGCCTTGGCTCCGAGCGCCTCGATGCCTTTCTCGATGTCCAGGTAGCTCATGCCTTCCACGCTGCGGAGTACAGGCACCACCAGGCCCTGGACATCACGCAGCGTCAGTGGAACAATCACGACACCTTGTCCGGTCCGGCGAGCTTCATACAAAGAATACATACAGACCGTGCAATGGCACAACGTCCAGGCACCATTTGACAAAACCACACCAGAGCAACCATCGATGCCTTTACCACCTTCCAGCTCGAAGGTTTACTGGACCTCGGCCTGTAACGGGGCTGCGAAAACAATCGTTGGGGCATACATGATACGCCAGGACCGCAGCCAGCAGACCAGTTGAGCAGGTCATTCCCACTCAGTCGAGGTGGATGC